ACACACGCACCCCCGGTCACCCCCACCTCTGGCTCTTGTCCTCTCTCTCCCTGTCCTGTCCCTGAGTGGCTCCTGGCGGGCTGAGACCTCCCAGCACCCCAGACCCCGAGTTCCCTCAGCTCTGGGCTGGGCCCCTGCGCCTCTCCTGCTGACCTCCCCGAGGTCACGCAGCCTCCAGAGCCTTTGCCTCCTTAATTTGGTGCCTTGGTAGCTGCCTACTAGCCTTTTCTGGAATGGGTTTGGGATAACAAAGGGCCCCATTTCTGGCCTCAGCCCAGCCCCAGCTGCAGCCAATCTACTCTGTTCTGACGAGACTCACCTGTCCCCTTCCCACTCCACCTCTGGCCTGAACTCCGGGCTCACAGCTCCGGAAAAACCTCACGCCAGCCCCAGTGCCCCAGACACCTCTTCTCCCCACCTATGGGGGCACCGGCTGGCGGCTCATGGGTACCCCTCCAGACACGGGGCTCTCCAGGGCCTGACCCTGCAGGTGTGCCCACGAACCTCGGCTGTGGTGAGGTTCCCACAGGGCCCAGTCCCCCGGCGGCATCAGAGCTGGGAGAGGCAGTGAGGTCACCGGGAGCTGGTGCGTCTGGTTTATCGAGCTTGTTTCATCAGCTCCCAGTCCCCCTCCTCAGGGCCGCCCAAGCTTCCCTGCTCCTCCAAGGCCACTCACTTCTCTCCCTCTTTCTCCAGCTCCTTTGCATCCCATGCACCCCCTCTGGTTCCTGGGAGGGGGGCTTGGTGGTTGTGGAAGGGCCAGACCCCAGGCCGTTTCCCCTGCCCTGCTGGACAGACTTGAGTCCCGCTTCCATCTCATCCACGAAAGAAGAGCAGGTCCCTCGGAGTCTTTGATTCTCTCTGGCCCCTGAGGCCCATCCAGGGACCTTCTAGTGAATTACTCGGCCCTGGAGAAGGCTGGCCTCACCCCCTCCTCGTACCCCATGAGGGATAGTCAGGGGAACCCACAGGTTCTCTTCTGTCTTGTCCGTGGAGCGGGACTGAGCGGCCGGGGCCGGAGCAAGAGCTCTGAGGAAGGATCCTGGGCCTGAGTGCCTGTCCCTGCCCGGGTCCTCCCAGAAACACGCCCTCGAGACAGATCCCTCACCCTGGCCGGGCAACTCTGGGGGGAAAGNGGGATAGTCAGGGGAACCCACAGGTTCTCTTCTGTCTTGTCCGTGGAGCGGGACTGAGCGGCCGGGGCCGGAGCAAGAGCTCTGAGGAAGGATCCTGGGCCTGAGTGCCTGTCCCTGCCCGGGTCCTCCCAGAAACACACCCTCGAGACAGATCCCTCACCCTGGCTGGGCAGCCCTGGGGGGAAAGAAAGTCTCTCGGCCTGGAGACCCCACGGAAGGGGCCGCTCTGAGCCTGCCTGCCCATATGGCTGGTCCCCTGAGCTGGCCCCTGTGTTTCTGGAGGGTCCCTCTGTGCATAGGGTGTCATCTCAGCCTGGGTGGGTTGCAGGGCATGTGGCTGCCCAGGCGGATCTCTGGTAATCCACTGAGCAGTCCCTGTGGGGGTTGGGGGGGGAGGAGACACTTGTCCACACTTGCGGTCTTTGTGGCTTCGCTGGACTCTCTTCTTAAAGCCTAACCCAGATCTCAGTGACCCAGCCCCCAACCCTCACAAAGTTGGACGGAATCTACTCTTTTCCTCTCCTGGCTCAGTCGGGGGAAACCCTAACGCGGGCGGCACCATTTCCCAGGTTCGTGTCCTGCTGTTAAACAGCTGTGGTTTTTACTGTCAGCCTTGGTCTCCCTTCTCCCCCCTCGGAAGCATCATTTCCATCGCAAAAAGCCAAACCTGTATTTCTCCCTGGTCGGTGGGGGTGGATGACAGTGGGTGGGGGCAGTGCCTGTCCCCCTGTCCATCACAGAGCAGAGGTACTTGAGGTCTCTTGGGGGCAGGCTTGTGCTGTCCCCATGAGCACAGGGGAGGGACCACACACAGGGGAGGGACCCAGCACAGGTAAGGGGCCTTGTGGCAAGGCCTCCTTAGCACGTGCATATCTGTGTCTCGGCCTGGGTGAGGGTCTGCTCAACTTTCTCTCTTGAAAGCCATCCTTCCTGGACCGCAGACCATGAACAGACATCAGGTCTGCGGTTGTGTTTTTGGGACCAAAGCTGAGACGGGGGATGGTAGAAGGTATTTGTGCCTTAGCTTGTTCCAGCAGCGAACCACTAATTAAACTTCAAATGAACCAATTTTTGTTTTTTTACAATGTACCTTGGCTTGACGTTGAGGCTTGAAGCAGAATTTCCGCTGGCCTGTCACAACACATGCAAAAATGCTGGCTACTCCAGGCTGTTTCAGAGCAAATGCCGTTCCCCAGATCCAGCCCCTGGGCTCGGCTCATGGGCAGAGATTTAAAAAAAAAAAAAAAAAAAATTCCCTTCACACACACAAAACTGTGAATATCCACAAGCCAATCATTCCAGGCTAAAAACCTGGGAACTGCTCCCGGGATGGGTACCACACCCAGAGGCATGCAATGTTTGAACAAAACAAGTGGATGGCCCTGGCCGGTGTGGCTCAGTGGTTAGAGCGTCGGCCTGCAGACCGAAGGGTCTTGGGTTCCATTCCAGACAAAGGCCCGGACCTTGGTTTCAGGTTCACTTCCCACCCCCAGGCGGTGTGTGGGGGGAGGCAACCAATGGATGTGTCCCTCTCACATGGATGTTTCCCTCTTCCTCTGTCTCTCCCCCCCCCTTCTACTCTCTCTGAAAAGCAATGGAAAAAATATCCCCAGGTAAGGATTAGCAACAACAAAAAGTGGAAGGATGTTAGATGTCCTCGTATGACGTTCTCTGCAGGCACAGCACACCCGCATGCACACACATGTGCCCACGCCGTGCACACGGCATGCACAGGAGCCATGCTCCAAGGAGCACTCAAACCGGCGGGCAGGGGGCACAGTGCTGATGAGATCCTGCCGCAGGGTCCGGGGTACCCAGCGCTGGGTGGGGTCACCTCTGGGAGAGGCTGGTTTTGTGCAAGGTTTCAAATGCAGGGGGAGGGTTTGGCTGAGAAGAGAGATGTTTCAGGTGGGGCAGGTGGGACGTATTTGAAAACTTGGAGGTGAAGGGATGAGTCATCTCTGCAAAGGTTCCCCTTTCCCCACCGGAGAAAGAAAGGACTCCCTGTGCCCTAACAAAGGAGCCATCTGCATGTCCCAGCTTCTGTAGGTGGGAAAGCTCGGGCTGCTCCCACGACATGAGGGGTGTCGGAGGGAAGCAGGATGAAGGGTGGGGCCGACCAAGGGGCAGGTTCCTGAGGTGGCTGGGACCAGAGCACTGATGAGAGTGACAGGAGCGATGTGGGCGGAGCAGCCAGTATCACCCGTGTATTAGGAAGGCAGTGCACCCCCCCCCCGAGACACTTGCTGTTGGACCCAGGGGTTCTCTGGGGGGGCCAGAGGCCTCCTGGGGATGGTGCACAGCCAGGCGGGCAGCCAACTTCCCTGAGACACGCCATCCTTTGCCTTTCTGGGGAGACAGTGGGATGCAGATGGTCACCTGGGAGGGTGGGGGTGATTCCTCTGACCACTCCTGGGCCAGGTATCCCCCTCAAGGAGGTGACCTCGGCTCTAGAGCTGTGCTCGGCTGCTCGTCCTGGCTTATCTGGCCCAGCAGGAGGAGGCCTAGCTGAGGAGAGTTCAGGGACCGTGGCTCAGGAGAGGGAAAAGTCGCTTCCGTTGTAGGAGCAGCTCTCTTCCAAACAGAGCTCACCTCCCACCTGCACCCTTTGGTTTCGAGGCACATGGCAAGGTGTGAGCTCAGGTGTGTAACATCTCTAGACCCCTCCCCTCCCTCATAGCCTTGGGCCTATGTACAGCTCCCTTCTTTCTGCCAGAGGAGCAGTGCTGGCTGGTGTGATGGCAGCCTTGTTGTCATAAGGAAGCCAAGCAAAGCAGCTTAAGGTGGGAGTCAGGTGGTCTAACCCCCGAGTTCACATGGAACTTAGAGGGTGCCTTCAGGAGCTCCCAGGAAGGGCCCGGAGGCCTTGGCCCAATTGGAAGTGATAGTTACACACCCACACCTCTCACCACCGAAGTCACCACTAGGACACAGGGACTGGCATTCCAGAGGTGGCCGTGTTGCCCCCACTCCCAGCCCCACCTCCGTGGCAGACAACTCCCCACCAGCCACGGAGAAGGTGAGAGAAGGAAGCGGCAGGTGAAGGCGTGGAGGGAGGAGATGCTCCCTGGATGACCGAGGGCTGAGTGACGTTACCGTTGACAGATTCTGTCTGGAAGGGGCGGAGGCCGTGGGAGCCTGCTCTCCTAGCGGGAGGCCTCCTCCGGCTCTGAGGACTGTCTGTCACCACCCCAGATTTTCCACTGAGAGCAGCTGGCTGACCCACGTCTGCCCTTTGGTGAGAATTCCCTGTTCGTGGGCAAGAGCCAAATGAACCTGGGCCTGCCAAGCCCTGGGAGGATGTCAGAGGTGCGCTGGATGGAGGGAAAGGGATGGAACTGGGCCCTGTGCATGGCTGCAGCCCCTTCCTGGGGGTTCTGAGGCCTCCACACTGCCTCTGTCCCCTCCTGACAAAGGCCACCTTTCCCATGGGGCAGCTTCTGGAGAAAGGGGCAACAAGCTGCCTGCACTCAGCAAGGAGCTCAGAGCAAGTCAGGGGCTCCGAGGGACATCCCCGTGGGCGTCAGGGCTGGGCTGGGCCTGGAGCGCCCAAGTTAGAGGCCAGGGAGGCAATGGTTGCTTTGGTGTTGGCACCCCTTCCTTGTAACGAACCCCGACCCTGGAGAGGTCAACCCTGACCCTGGCATCCCTGAAAGCCATTGGTCACCTGTCACTGCAATCACCCAACCACAGAACCTGGGGCTGTGTGGGGGCCTTTGGGGTGCGTAGCAACCAACCCCCTCTTTTTACAGAAGAGGAAGCTGAGGCCCAGAGAGAGCACATGACTTGCCCAAATGCCAGAGCACAGCCAATTTGAACACCTCCAGGCTCTCAGAGCCAAAGCCGATGGTGCTAATGATCAGTTGATCTTCTGTGACTGGGGCATGGGGACCAGGGGCAGTGCTCTGGCCTCGGAGCTCTGAGGGGGCCATGGGGCATTGCACAGAGGAGGTGGCACCTGGCGGGGACACCTGCCACCTTCTAGGGCTGCTCCTCCTACTCTTACCACCCTTCCCCCCACCCTCTACCCCAAAGGTGGGGGAGGGGCTCACTTACCCGGTGAGACCACCAGCAAATCCTTCCCCCTAGACGGGGCCTCTGAGGCTGCAGCCTAACCATCGCTTTAGGAAGAGGGGGTGCACACCCCCCACAGGAGACTCCCACGGGCCCCAGACACCAGCATCGAACAGGCACGTGGGGCAGCCTTGCTCTGGACGTGCCGGCCGCAGACGTCCCAGCGTTGGGAAGGGGACACCAGGCAGGATGTGACTTGGGTCAGACAGCCGGACAGCCGGTGTTCAGAAGAGGCAGAGGCGGCCTTGGGCAGGGCTGGTCACGAAAGGCTTCCTGGAGGGGATGGGCCTTGAGCTTGGCTCTGAAATGTGGGTGAGACTGGTGGTCGGGGCAGAGGAGAAACGGCAGGCTCGGCGTGTGACCTGTCGCTGTCAGCCCTGTTCCGAGGACCATAGACACCTCGCCCCTGCCATCTGGTAAAGGGGGGAAGAGAGGGGCGCCCCCCCCCAGGAGCCCCAATCCAGCTCTGCTCGGTGATGCAAAGCCACTTGGCTGCTAATAGCCCTAATGACACTTTGTCCCCCTTGTAACCTGTCATTTGTGGGTCTCCAGCACTCAGAAAACAGTGACTAATCCTCCCCAGGGCCTTTGAGGCTGATGGCCACCCCCCGACACACACCAGCTGGAGCAGCTCAGAGATGCAGGAAGGGGCGGGAGGGCCCCACGTCACGAGTGGGGCCAGGCTGAGGTCGGAAGCAGAGCCCTGCCCCGAAGTGGACTCGGACCAGCCGCCGCGGCTCTGTGGCCCTGACCTCGAGGCTCTGGGCTCAGCATGTCCATCTCCTGCCTGTGTTCCCGGAGCGGGAAGCTCATCCTTGTGGGACGCGGGGTGGTGATTCCCTGGAATGGAACGGCGTTGCTCCAAGGCCCCCCGGGCCAGCTCCTGACATGTGGGTGTCAACCTACGCCAAGCACAGGGAGCCACTGGGTCCCCAGGAAGGGCTCGCCCAAGACTGTGCCTGCAGCGTCCGTGGGGCCTGCCCTCGGCCCTGGCACTGGAATTGGGGAGAGGAGGGGAGACTTGGTCCCAGCCTCTCCTCCCTCAGCTCAGACTCGGTCTTCTGGGCAGGGGAGGCGGCCCTGACTTGGAGTGACACCTGCCCGGCAGGAAGGATGGGTGGAGAGCACAGTCTCCCTGTCCTAACCCTCTGCCTTTGCCCTCAGGTTCCATGTATGACGGCCTGGCCGACAATTACAACTATGGGACCGCCAACCGCAGCAGCTACTACTCCAAGTTCCAGGCGGGGAGCGGCTCGTGGGGCTACCCGGTAAGGAGCTGCGGCCACTTGGAGATGCTGGGGGTGTTTGCGGGTGTTTCGGGGTCTGCGGTGCAGAAAATCGCACTGTTGCTGAGAGGAGTGGTGCAGGGAGGGGGCTCAATGAGATGAGATACCCCAACTCTGACCAGGTCCCTTGGCGTGGCCAGTATTTCATAGGTGGCTCTTAATGGGCCTCCTGTTTGGGCTGGTTGGATATTTCTGAATGTCTCCCATGAGAACAATTCTTAAGAAGCAGCAGGAAAATCTCTTTTTTTAAAGTCCATTTTGCGATGTCTGATTTGATCACATCACAGACATGAATCCTTGAGGTCCATTTGTGGATTGAATTAGGTGTTCCTAGGAAAATCCTGAAGGGACCTCTGTCTTGAGTATATGCTGATGACCAAGGAGGGGGCTCTAGAAGTTCCCCCAAGGCCAAGAAGGCATGTCCATGGTGGTGACTCTAGCCTAAGAGGATGGGGCTGGAGGGGCCATTGCCTGAGGTTGCAGGTGGGACACACCTGGCTTCAAAGTCCAGCTCTGCTACCCAACCGAGCATGGGGTGTTGAGCCACATCCTTCGGCCTCTGGGCTTCATTCCCTCACATGCAAAATGGATATAACAAAGTCTGCCTCACGGGATCATTATCAGGATGATATAACGTGTGTAAACAATTATTTTAATCAGACTTAAATTTTAAATGAACATGAATAGAGATGATTTTAGGTTCTTTCATCCCGGCCCACCACTGTTTTTCTGTGTGACATCCAGGATCCCTCCCAGCCCCCCAACTCTATCAATCTTTCATTGATTTTGCCAATTTCAACATGAGTCTGTACTGTTATTGGAAATCCTTTTGGGGGGCCCTCGAAGCATCATGTGGGTGGGGAGGAAGGCACCATCTCCTCAGGGCTCCGGGTTCCAGCGGCACTGCTCGTAGATGCCACCCTGATCGCTGGGGTTCTGGGCAGGGGAGGCGACCGGTGGCTTATGAGCCAGGTGTCCTCTTGTCATCAGTGTGATTCCTTCTTTCCTGGATTCTCTTTGGGGCTAATTCTGGAGGACTTGTGTGTTTTTTGCATGTTATTGGTTAGGGACTGAAGAGAAAATTAACCAGAATTGCTGAAAATTTAGTTTCCTCTGTTTTTTCTGATTCTTAATGTCAATTGATACCCTTGGCGCAACATAAGGTGACAGACCAATAAGCTGGCAGGTCAGGCGCAGATGTGAATCGAGGGCTTTAACACAGCGTGGTGACTAGACGGACTCAGAGCCAGGGACTCTCTCCTGCAGGGGGAGGGTAGGTGAGACCCAGGAGGGCAGATCGCTGGGTGGGACCCGAAATAGGAACGAGCCATCTTGCTGACAATGCAGATGGAATGGTACAGGAAGGTTGGTCCTGCTCTGTGACTCTAGATAAACCTCTGAGCACCTCTGGGTGCCAGGGTTCTCATCTGTGCCGTGGGGGTGGGGAAACCTGTGTGAGCACTTCGCTACCAGTTTGATACAATGTTGCATCAGCTCTGAATTGTAACTATCTGGGTTACAAACATAAAGTTTGTAACGTGAAAGACTGTAACATGAAAGTTTGTAACTAATCACTGTAACATCGAGGCCTGGCTTGGGGGGAGCATTGACTCAAACTCAGCAGCTCTTGGTGCTCCCGACTGCCCCCCACCCCCACCTGTTTTCTGACCACCAGGGAAAATCCCTTCTCTTTCCCGCACCCAAAGGCCTGCCTCCTCGCCCCTCCTTTGCTGGCAGGACCTCAGACATGACTCACGTCGGGGCAGCTGCTGGGGCACGTCCTGTCTCCTCTCAGTTCAGGAGAGGCTCTGGGAACAGCAAGGAGCTGAGCACACACGGGGCCTGGGCAGAGGGAGGGTGAAGGGGAGGAAATGGAATAATAGATATTGGAGCCGGGCCTGCAGTCAGATGAGTACTGGTTAAACCAGAGGGGGTCAGCACCCAGGGAGAAGGGAGCAGGGGGAAAGGTGACAGAGGATGGGGCCGGGATGGTCCCCTGCCTGTGGGGTTTCCCGGCATGGTAGGACAGGCACAGGGTGGTGTGATTCCCTCCCCTTCCCTCTGCTGAAACCAGTGTGGTGCAGAAGATGAGGCCGAGGGGAGCAGGGTCCCGGGGAGCAGGGCGCAGCTGTCGGCAGGTCTCATCAGCAGGTTTCAGGACCATCTCCTGCCTGCTGGTCCCGAGAAGCCTTGGGACCCCAGCCAGAGCTAGGTGTGCACAGGTGAAGGGACCGCCTCCCTCAGTGGCCCGCAGGCCAGTCAGAGGAGCACAGAGGTGGACAGGGAGACAGATGCACGGCTGCTGCTGGGGGGACCAGCACGCCAACGCCACCATCTGCTCAGAACCTTTCTACTCTCTCTCTTTTTTAAATAATTAAGTTATCCACAGTGTCACCTTAGGAGACCCGCAGAGTGATTTTTTTCTTCCTAGACCCAGGCTGGATTACTCAGCTGTAAACACTAGTGGGGTCTGAGTAGTTTCCAGAGAAAGTACAATATTTTTGGGACATACTTATACTAAAAAGTTATTGGTTGTTTTTCTAAAATTCCAGTTTAACTGGATGTTTTATATATTCATTTGCTATATCTGGCAACCCTAGATCTGGGTATCTTCCCATTCGTTCCCTAAAATAAAAACAAGATCCCTCCCCCACACACACTACACGACCCAAGCTGGGTGACTTCAGGCTACAGGGAGGCTGACTGGCCTGTTAGAGACCCTCAGAGTGCCTCTGGCTTCAGGCCTGCACTTCCTCCCTGGTCTTACCTGAGCAGCTCCAGGGCCAGCTGAGCAGCTGCTAGTTAACCCCCCACAACAGGGCAACAGACAGAGCAGCCGGCCTCCCTTCCTTTGCTTTGCAGAAAAGAAATCTGGGCCCATCTAGCAACTACCTGACAGCTCCCAACCCACCTCCTCCCGGCTCCCCCTCCTCAGCTCAGAATGCCCGTTCCAGATATGCCAGCCGGGTTCCTCAGGCAGTGCCTGCTGGGCCTCTGCCTGCTCTCAGAGTCCAGGGGAAGGGAGTGAGGGGCACAGGCTGCTTCTTTCTCCCCAGCAGGACTGGCTCCTGCTCTGGGAGGGAGCGATAGATGTGTTTGCCAACTCTGTGTCCCTGTGCCAGCCTGTGACTCACTGCCACCCAGTCCCAGGAGATAGGGTCCCAGCAGTGCCCCAGGCTCTCCCCCAACAAGAAGAGACAGCAATCATACTTGCCGAGGGACAGAATGTGCCCAAAAGAGAAAAGTCAGGGAGCCGGCAGGAATGGGCTGCTCCCAGTCCCCCCCACACTCCTGAAAGCAGCAGCCTGCTCTCGCATGTTCTCACAGACTCCCTGCTGAAGCCAGGACACTCCCTGTATTTAAACTGTGGCAAATGCTTATGTCTGGGGTATCCCCTGGGATGAGCCCCCTCTATATGCGACTGTCCCTGGGGTGGTCTGACTCCAGGTGAGGAGCTCCTGCTGCCCTGGGGCTGCAGCTGAATGCAAGGAGCTGACCCACAAGACTTGCCCTGCCTCAGCCCAGCCCCAAGCCCCAGTGTGCTGAAGGTTTGGGTGTGAGCCCTTAGGTTCTGGGGTATCGGGGGAGTGTTAGCCTGCAGGGCAGCTCAGCACCCCCAGCCCTCGTCTTCAGTGGCCCTCACGTGAGAGAGATCCAGCCTGCAGCCCCCCCATTTAAGAACCCCTGAGTAGCAGCAGTTTGAATGCACACGGGCCTGTTCTAGCCCCCTTCTCGCTCCTTCAGCCGGGGAGACCCACCGGTGAGCAGGAACTGTTGGCCGAACTTTATGTGCCGGGAAATTATGCTACGGAGAAGGGCGGGCCCACCTGGTGCCTCATGGCAGACCAGGAGGAACCGAGCACAGGGCCCAGTGGGTTTAGGGGGAACGGGGGAGAGGAGTGCCTCAGGTGTCTCTCCTGCCAGGTGAGAGCAGATGTGTCCAGGCCAGGAGCAGGCGATGTGAGGAGGGACATCCCCACGAAACCCTGCTGGGTCCTCTGGTGCCTGTCTTCTGGCTGGAGTTGTTCCTGTGTCACTGGGCCCAGGGAGACCAGTGCAGCTGCTTCCAGATGGGAGGGAGTGCCGTCCCCACCCTTCACAGGGAGAGGCTGTTTCCCCCAGGGCCCCAGCGTGTCTCTGCGGAGCCTTCTCGTGGCCCCGAGGAAAAGCTAACTCAGCTGAAAAAATATCTAGTGGGGCGGGGAGGGGGAGGGCGCGAGGTGGTGAGAGACAGCTGGGGTGAGAAGAAACTTTGGGCTCAGGAAAGCCCCCTCTACCCCCATTTGCACAGACAACGATGGAGGCGGCTCCTGGGCTTTGTCCCCCGGCCTGGAACCAGGTTCATCTTTGGCCAGTAGAGTCGTGTCAGACAGCTGAGCAGCCACACTCCTCCTAACTGACTCCTAGGACCCCTTGTCTATAATCCCTGGGGAGGGGTCCTGGGAGTCAGGACCAGCCTCTAGCCAGAGAATCTGGGGGCTTCCTGCAGAGGCTCTTAGCCACTCAGACTTCGTTCACATCACCAGACTGGTGGCCGAGTGACTGCAGGACGGACGCGGGAGGAGGGGGGTTAGAGGTTGAGTCCTGGTTCGGGGGCTGCCACGTCCTAGCTGCGTGGCCTTGGCCCGGCCTCAAGTTCTCCGGGCTTTACACACAGAGAGGATGGACTTCCGCCAGCGGGAGACAGGGTGCTGTGTGGCTCCAGCCAGGTGGGGAACGGGGGAGCTCTTTGCAAACTGTAAAGTGCTGTACCTACTGAGGTTCTTAGGATGTGCTCAAGGGACTTCCAAAGACCTCCCCTCCCTGAGTCACCCCAGCCAAGTGCTGTGTGTCCCACATAGGCAGGTATGCACATGGGAGTGTGTGTGCGTGTGTGCCTCTGCATGTGCATGTGTGTATGTGCACCTCCTCTGTGCCCAACGGGCACCAGGACTTCCGAGCAGTGGAGCTTCTCCATTCTCAAGGCTCTACACAAAGAGAAA